TTACCTACTCTAGCCTGGCCACAAAATATTGTTGGAAAGGAGAAGATCTCTGAATGATAATCTTGGAAAAGCCCAATTGGAGAGTTGTTTTCACCCGGTGCAACTGATAATACTTGATTGAACTCCCTAAAATCTGCAATTTGTAAGAAAGTGTCTAAATTGCCAGTTGGCCTGTCAACAAAGCTTTCATCCTCAGTCCAATCATCATCTGACTTGCACTGATCAAGTTCATCTTGCAAAACAGAGTCTTCATTTTCTGTATCAGTGAATCCATGGTGTTGCTGCAGCCATGTCTCATTTACAAATATACCCTCATTTTTAAATAGTTCGCTATTTGAAACCAGCCATTTTGCTGCTTGATATACTTTATTTGGCCTAATATTTTCAAACGCCACATGATGTTTGTAAGATAATTTCCTTTTTAATTTAAGCATAATGGTTTCATTTTCATCAACCATCCTTGGCAATGACTTTATAGTACCACTTACATCTGCTGGCACATTAACAATATTTCCTTTCATACTAACTTGCCCACCTCTCGGCATTTGTCTCAACTGCATAAAAGGTATTCTTGGTGAAACAAGCCTTTCTTCAAGGTTAGAAAGGTCCAATTCTGTCGGTTTCATAGGAAACTTTAAACCATTGTGTATCCATAACTTTGGAGTCTTGCCTTTACTTGCCCATTCCAAACAAGTTTTACATATCCACTCAAAGTTGTCAAAACTTCTATACTGTGTACAGAATTTTGCTATCAAGGTCTTTTTAATATCTGGGATCTGTTCAATCTTCCGCATGAAATGGCGAAAAAACGTTTGAGTACAGCAAGTACAAACATAATCTGGACCATATGATATTAGTGCATCAAATGATGATAAAAGATCACTATTCATGTCAGCTGGAAAATTATGACTATCATGTTGTGAACATTCAAAACCATTATCATCAACTGCATTTCTAAGAGACTTCCCTTCCATTAAAACTATAGACTTTTGTTTTTTATTTTGCATATCTTGACAGTTATTTGAGTTATTTTTCCGTTTCCTGATCTTTTGAATTTTAAAACCTTTTCTATTGTCAAGAATTTTCACACAAAAAGCTGTAGGTAATAAAGGAATGAAAAATTTCTTTACAGATATCACATGCAGGTCAAACTGTACACAGGAATAATCTTTTTTGCAAGAATCTAGAAGCTGACGGAGAAAACAGCATAAGTCAGAAATGGAGTTAACAATGCCAAGAACACAATGACCATCTGTACACATTAATCCTTCATTATTTCGCGAGTGACTATCAAATACATAAAACTGATTCTTAAGCTTATCTTTATAAATGGCAAGTGACATTTCATTAAAAATGATAATGAGATTTAAAGCTTGTGCGGAATACACTTTATAAAAGGCATCTTCAAGTTTATTACAAACCGGTGAACATTCAACTGGGAGGACTTTATCCATCAACCCTGTAATTGTTCTTTTATGTGTCAAGTATACTGTGTGTCCTTTGTATGCAATGCGTTCAGGGAAAGTTGTGGGATCCATTAATCCAACCAGGTCATGTTGTTTTTCAGACATAGCACAATAAAGAAAACTTCCAGCAAACATGACATCATTAAGATCCTCTCCTTGAAACAACAAACATGGTTTAACATAATTGACAGCAATCAAAAACATAAGGCAAGTAGGAACACATTGTCTACCTCTAGCCTTAATTGGCAGGTTTTCAGAAGCTTGATTAAAATCTGCAGTAGTGTGTAGCAGAAAGACTTTGCAAGATTCATTCAATACTGCACCATTAGTCTCAGGGCCAGGGTTTGTGGCAACATCTCCAGCAAGTAACAAAAGAAAAATTCTTGTAATGTTGCGAACAGACATAGGCCTTGATTTCACACGTCTTGTATGCTTTAAATGAAAAAAAAGCTGGTAATAGACTTGTATCTCAAAGTGTTTTGAGAACATTACACTGTCCAGGGCAACAGAGTCAAAGGGTATGGAAATGAACATTTCTTTATCAAAGCAAAATCCTATTTCACTCAAGTTTTTACAGTCCAGCAATACTATTATGCGACTACATTCACATCTATCATTTCTATCATTTGTTGATTCTTGCAGGAATAACAATTGATTTGCATCATTATGCAAAGGAATACAAAACAATATTAGTACCAACACAAATGCCATACCAAACAATAAATTTAGTGACATTTTTCTTTATATTTCAATTACTTATGGAATAAAAACACAATAAAACTAAAGAAGTTTTTTTGATTCAAAATTATTCTAAAAATAATGCCTTGTTATTCATTCCCTGATTTTAATCCAAATTTATAGCAAAAATGTATGAATAAGTTCAAGTAATAAAATTGGTTAGATAGTATAATTCACATTCTACAGTAAAAAGCAGATTTGACTGTTCAACTGTTTTCACATTAAATCCACAATTTAAATTGACGAGGTTAGTTTAAGCCTTTGGCAATATAAGGAACTATTCAAATGCACAATTCTAACATAAACACAAAAATTCGTATTTCTTTTAAACTTAACCCAGAACACAACACAATGAATAAACTACCATATTTACATGTAAATAAAGGCACCTGGTCAAAATATAAATTACCTTCTTGAATTCACAGATCTACACACTGGAAAATATATGCAACGGAAAATATATGATAAAGTTCAAAATAATAAATCCTAGCAGGAAATATTCAATTCCCTAAAGATTGTACCTTTTTACTTGCTTTCTCAATCCATGATATAATGGCATACTCACAACATATATGCTAAATACTAATATACATATAGTTCCAAGATAAATATATACAGTTCAAAGATATATATGTTCAGTTCCAAGAAAAATATATTCAGTTCCAAGATATATTTGTTCAACTCCAAGATAAGTTCAATTCCATGTATGTTCAATGCCAAGATTTATTTGTTCAACTCCAAGATAAGTTCAATTCCATGTATGTTCAATTCCAAGATATATTTGTTCAACTCCAAGATAAGTTCAATTCCATGTATGTTCAATTCCAAGATTTATTTGTTCAACTCCAAGATAAGTTCAATTCCATGTATGTTCAATTCCAAGATTTATTTGTTCAACTCCAAGATAAGTTCAATTCCATGTATGTTCAATTCCAATGTTTCTTTTAAATTTAATTAATTGGCAAAATGAAAAAAAAATCTTACAAAAAAAGGAAATAAAAAAAAACAAAAACAACTACACTTAAATTTGTAAATCTTTGTTATATTCTTGCTGTCCAGCATTAAATAAGTATGAAAAGTGTATTTTGTGTAAATGTATACACAGCAAGATCAAAAAGTTGTTTATAATTTTAAATATATGCTTTAAGACAATTAAATACTAAATACCATATTAATACTTGTTTATTTACCTGTACAAAGTAGCAGTAAACTGATTTCAATGACACCGACTGTCTTAACCATAAGCTTTCACACAGGTCTACACATCTGAAAAAAAATGCATATCATAAATCACATTATTTTTTATCCCACTACAAAAATCAACATGTTAAAAAAATATTGAATTGTCCTTGATATATATTGTGTTTTATTCTCTTTTGTTTCATGCAGTGTGGGACATTTGACCATGCATTATTTATGTTATATATATTCCAAACACTTACCTATGCAGTTCACAGATTTCAAGAATTCTTGGCAAACAAATGACCTTGTCACAATCAAAATCTCACTGTCAAGTCTGTAATCACATACCTGTAATGAATGTGTTAAATGTTAAACATGATTTAAACTTTCTCACTGTCAAATAAGACTGACAATACATGTCCAACTTATTGATTTCTAGTATATAGCCTTAGGTTTTTTCCTCTTTCTTTTTATAACTTATACTAACAATTGGTGAATTCAGAGTTTTGTCCCGACAAGAGAAGGGAACAGACGGATGTTTGACCGAAAAAGGGATAAAGGGCCATTACTATTGTTTTCCCTTTTGTTTATTAGAGGGCCATGGCCCCATATTCTATTGTTATGGAATGAATTCTATTGTTCTCTTTTGTTCTGCTACAGTAAGATGGATATATATATATATATATATATCAATGTCAGAAAAAAAGCTAACATGTTTTTACCTTAATGGCCTGTTAATTATGTTCCACAGCTTCTCAGCAAACAAACAACTGTGCCACAATTTAAATCTAACAAACAAGCCTTTAATCACACACCTGAAATAAAAACTTTTCCTAATTAATACAATATTTCTTTTAATTTATTACATACTTCAATGAAATATTAAGAAATATTGATAAAGTAAAATCCTAATTTTCATTTCCTGTATTTTCAATGTAAATATTCATTTTTCATTGCATATTTTCACAAGTGTCTTCTAAATGTAGCCTATACACAATAGGAACAGACGGATGTGCGACCGAAAAGGGATAAAGGGCCATTACTATTGTTTTTCCTTTTGTTTATTAGAGGGCCATGGCCCCATATTATATTGTTATGGAATGAATTCTATTGTTCTCTTTTGTTCTGCTACAGTAAGATGAACAGAACAGAACAGATACTTTATTAAGATTTGTACATAGTACATCATCTATAATACAATATTTTTACAAGCATAACGTCAATATAATGGTAATTGCAATCATGACATTTTCAAAATTCTTTATCTTAATTTATCTAGTAACAAGAAAATTAAATGATAAATATGTATACTACGAACTAAAAAAGCAAAGACATACGAAAAGGAGAATGAGCTATCATGATGTTTAACGCTCAACATTTAACAGTGTGTTTCTCAAAGCAAGTGCTTCTTTAACAAATTTTGATAACTGAATTAATTCATATTTATTATTTGAATTCATTAATTGTAAAAATTTATAAACTGACGGGTTTCTGGTATATTTAATTTTCAAATATTTTTTTCTTAACTCTGAATAACAACGACATATACAAACAAAATGAAATTCATCTTCAATGTCTGAGGTATAACAGCATAAACAATATCTTTCTTCTCTAACAATTCTATTTCTAGAATATCTGCCAGTTTGTATTCTCAAAGACAAAGTACTCATTCTTAATCTACAGAAATAAAATCTTAAACATCTTGGCAAGATATCCAAATAAAGTTCATACTCAAAACTACATTTAACATTTTTGTACATATACAATACAGAACTATTATCTAAAGTAGCATACCATTCCTGTTTAAAAAGAATCAATAACACGACTTCTAAATTCAAATAAAAAAATTTTTTTGTCAATAATATTAACATTATCAAATACATATGAAAAATCCATAATCATTCAAAGCTTCTTTACATTCGAAACCCAATTTTTATGACCATTGTTGCTATCATCTAGAGCTTGATTATATACTGTCTTAAGGATTATGTTATCAGTTTCTACAATTTTTAACCAGTATTTTATTATCCTTACAAACCTATGGATATATAAGGGATATCTTCCCAGTTCGCCATATACACTAGCATTACAAGTGTTAGGTTGAACTCTTAATAACCTTTTACAAAATTTTAAATGTATTCTTTCTAGCTCTTTAGACTTAGTATATCCCCAGATTTCACATGAATAATTTAATATCGATGAAACAAATGAGTCAAATAACTGACATAATGTTCTGGGAGAAAGGTCAATTTTTTTCAATTTACAAAGAAGAACATTCATTGCCTTTAAAGCTTTACCACTCAAATATTCCTGATTTAATGTAAAATTGCCCGTATAATTAAAAACTGTCCCAAGATAATTAAAATCATTAACTACTTCAATATTTTGGCCATTATAGTTCCACTGCTCAGTTGGTAAAATACGACCTCTTTTTCTAAATACCATTATTTTAGTTTTTGTTGTATTTACTTTAAGGCCACAGTTGTTACAATATAAATACAAAAGATCTAAAAGTTCCTGTATTTCCTCAGGGCTTTTGCCTATAATTGCCATATCATCTGCAAAAAGTAAAAAGAATTAAAACAATATCATCTAATATTAAACCTGAGTCGGGATTGTTTTGAAGATACAATTCAATGTCTTCTACAAAAATTGAAAATAGAAGAGGTGACATTACCTCCCCTTGACGGAGACCAACAGCATATTGGAAATATTCAGAATAAGTTGAACAAAGTTTGACACAAGACTTAATTTTCTGGTACATATCACGAACAATTCTTAATAATTTACCCTGTATTCCAAAATTATACATTTTTAACCATAAACCATTTCTATCAATAGAATCAAAACACTTTCATCATATCAACAGATATAACATATAATCTTTTATTTTCATTCAAATATTTTTCAACTAATGACATAAGTACAAATATAGCATCTACAGTAGACCTTCCTTTACGGAATCCGAATTGAGCATCCGAAATAGTGTTATGTTCGTTACAAAATTTCTCAATTCGATTATTAATAACAGTAGTAAACAATTTTGACATACAACTAACAAGAGTAATACCTCTGTAATTATTTACGTCATCGTGACAACCTTTTTTGTGTAAAGGGATTATAATACCATCTGTCCATTTATCGGGGAAATAACCCGAATCTAAAATACCATTAAATAAATCACAGATATGAGCTGATAAAATATCTATACTTTCAATAAAATACTCGTTTAATAAGCAGTCGCTACCATACGCTTTGTTACGCTTTAGTGATTTTACAGCAGTTAAAATTTCACAAACTGTAATTGGCTGGTCTAATTCTGGAAAAAATATCATTTGACTTCATAAAATCATTATTATTACAAAACTGATTAGCCTCCTCATTGCAACAAGCAAATAAGTCGTTACTTATATTAGAAAAATACTCTTTAAATTGTTCTATCGTTATATTTTTTCCAAAATTGTTCGATTTCTTTTTTAAAATATTTCCAAAAATCTCTAGGTTTACCTTTCTTTAAATTTTCTATCTCAGACATTTTCTTCCTGTAATGTAAGCTTTTCTTTTTTCTAACAATATTTTTATAAAATGACTTATTTTCACACAACCTTATTCTAAAATAAGCTGTCTTTGAGATATTAAACATCCTTAAAGATTCTAAATACTTATTACGTGCATTCCTACATTCTATATCAAACCAATCAGCGTGTTTTAATACAACTTTCTTCTTCAAAACAATGAACATTTTTAAACTGACATGTTTTTGAAAATAATGGGTCACTAACATTTCTTAATACATCTGTAAAACTATTAAGTGCATTATTGACAGATTGTCGACTGTTATTGTCTAAAATCATTAACAATATTATTAAATAGAGGTAAATTAGCAATGACTCCTGATCTAAACTGTTGTTTATATACATCATTCCATTTGTATTTCATTTCTGTAAATATAATATCTTTATCAGGTGTATTGTTGCATGAATATTTTCAATTGTAAGGGGGCATGATCGCTCCATTCATTGAATGACAATATACTAAAATTATTGATCAGTGAAAAATTGCGTTCGTTACATAATAAATAGTCTATAACAGATGCCCCGTTATGCGGAAATAAAAGTATGATGATTAGTGTCCCCGATACGACCGTTAACTATTCGTGAACATGATGATTTACAAAGATCTAATAATCTTATACCATGGCTGTTATGTTTACAGTCTATTGAGGCCCTGCATGAACTATTATCGGGGTCATAATCTATATCATCAAAAAACATTATTCAAAGTATCATGTATAATAAAATCATGTTTATTTCCTACTCTACTATTGAAATCTCCTAGAATGTACACAGCCCCTAAATTGTCGTATAAAAATATATCATTTTCTTATAAATCAAACAAATCAACATTTTAAAGTATTGTACGCAGGTGAGTCTGCACCCCATATATATACACCACACACATAAATATCTTCTTTAGTATTGAAAAAATTACGATCAAGTTTAAGCCAAATGATTGTATCATGGTGATTTTTAATTACTTGTATACCTTCTTTTTAAATGCTCTTTAAAATACAAAATAACCCCACCACTGCATCTTCGCGCACCCCTATTTTTGAAATTTTCTATAAAAATTGAATGAAATATACTCATTTAAAGAAATATTACTACTAGAATTTGTCCAAGATTCATACAAAAAACATATATCGTGACTTGAAATGATATTTACAAAGTCTTTATGAGTCTTTTGTCAGATGTTAATCCATGCACGTTCCATGACAAGATAGCTAGCTCACCTCCGGCGCATCCCTACTCCCGGACAGGCTTACCGTCGATGAACAGCGTATCATATGCAATCCATGACCTTTTCCCATTCTCTCTGGCGGCCTTCATTCTTGGCACTAGTCTCCTACGCTTTTCAATCACTTCCTGTGGAAATTGCTCGTACATTTTATAAGGTGTGTCATTCAAATGTTTCCACTGTTTTCTAATTAACTCGCGGTCTTTGAAAAATGTAAATTTGGCAACAATAGTCCGGGTTTAAGATGGTTATATATATATACATGTGTCAATGTCAGAAAAAAGCTAACATTTATTTACCTGAAGTGAAAAATGGCCTGTATAATTATGTTTCACAGCTTCTCAGCAAACAACCAACTGTGCCACAATTAAAATGTTACATCACACACCTGAAATAAATCCTTAACTAATTAATACAATATTTCTTTTAATTTATTACATACTTCAATGAAATATTAAGAAATATTGATAAAGTAAAATGTTCATTTTCATTTCCTGTATTTTCAATGTAAATATTCATTTCTCATTGCATATTTTCACAAGTGTCTCCTAAATTTAGCCTATACACAATAGACTGTAAAGAATCATAGGGCAATTTCTTTATAATTTGAAGTATTTATAGTTGAAACAGTCCTTTTTTAAGGCATATATATGGGTAATGGAATGTTGCACATCCAGATATGATTGACTAACAATTGTAAAGTGAGTAATAATTGTCGGAATACATGTAGCTCAATCAGTAGAGAACATAGCTCAAGGCTACCAGATTTTAAAAAAGTTTTTATTAATTTTTTTCTGACATGTCCGGAACAACTTGAAATTTAAATGTGTTTTTCGTTTGATTGATTTTTTTTACCTATCTTACTTTTTCATTGAAGTATCTTTATCTTCTTTATGCCCAAATCTCATTTCTTTCTCTTTTTTTTTAACATCTTTTCATGAATTTATGAATATTTTTTACAGATTCTAAAAGAATCAAAATACAACATTGTTAAGCATATATAACTGTTGTCAGGAAATAAGTTATGTTTCATCAAAAATAAACTTGAATAGAAATAGTTTGGAACCCACTAACTGAATTCACTTTTATATCAATATTATGCAGTCTGAAACTTACTTCACTACTAAGTCAAATGATTTATTATCTCATACAATGCAATTACATGTAGTATAAGTTTTATGGTAATAATGTGGTTAATCACTTGCAGTTAATCAAGGCTCGACAAATCCACTTGTCCGCTCATAAATACGAGTAAAAAATGACTCCGGACAAGTTAATCTCCCAGAAATGCCCGTCCTGCAGGACGCATAAATTAATCAAATTTCAATTCAATTCTTATGAAACCTTTTTTCAAGTTTCACTAGTAAAACAGAGCACAAAATAATTCCCGTGTGTTTGATGGGCAAAACTGATGTTGATTTGTTGAATGCAACGCTTAATTCTGTCTGATTTTATTTTGTAAAAACTTACTAAAAGCCTGTGCGGCGATTCCAGTATGTTCCACAAAATATTTCAAAATGTCACAATGCAATATTTGGCAAATGTTTGGCCAGAAAGGAGTAAGTTAAACAGTGTCTTCAAAAAAGTAAAATGAGTCAGAACATGTAAGAAATCTATGTTTTTTAAGCATTGCTGTTGTTGTTTTTTGTTTTTCAATCAATGATATATTATTTGTAGTATTTGTACTATTATCTATCCTATTTGTAAAAGAACAGCATTTTTCCCTTATATAACTATTTCCGTTCCCAATAAAAAAGACAGCAAATTTTCAAATTTCTTATTTTTAAATTCCAAAAATTACTGTCAAAATTCCCATCCAAAATTGGCATATATAAAAACAAGAACAGTAATGATTTCATAATGATAAGTGATATGTGATAAAAACCAAGTATAACTACATCTGACAGAGCAATATTTGTACCTAGTTCATTATATATTTCTGAACATTATTTAAATACATGTACTCATTTTTTTCACTCCAATAGGAAAATAAAATTATCGAGGCTTGACCGCAAGACTGCAGTAACTTATATGAAATAAAGAAGGACTTACAACAGTTTTGCAGTCAACCCTAGACATATATTATGCATGGTTTAACTTTAAATGTGTATAAATATTATGCATAATTCTCATGTCTCCCTGGATAAAATTAAAAATTAACCATGTGGCATGAATACCTGTCAGTTATGACTACTGTTTAGATGTTATCCGGAACTTAAGCAAATGTCAGGGTTTTTCCATGCTAATCCCACAGTGTATATATAATTATAACCTTATATAAGTTATAGCTTCATGGTGCACTACTGACCACAATTGATTAAACCTGTTGTGCTTATCATCAAACTGTAACTGAAAAATTTTGTTTAAAAATATTCTTTATTCTAGAGTAAGTCTATTTGACATACATACATTACTTAAGATTACATCTATATTGGCCATAGAAAATAAGTATAGTTAAGGTTTTACTTATGTTGTTCATAATTCAAATCAATATTTGGTAACCCATGTTTGACATTGAACCTGGTAGGTCATATTCCACTTCTTAAGTTGAACCTTATCTTAGAAAGTCTGACCCAATTGGTTGTCAGACTATTCTCTCCCTTACCAGTTCCTTCCTGTCTGCCCCCATCCCCCTATTGTGGGGGAAAACTGTCTGCATATACATGTAGATGTTTAAAGCAGTGCGAAAGTCAGAGACTAGCAGGAAAACCCGATAATCACTGAATCGTGCAAAGGATTGTGGGTCTGAATCTGACTGTCGTCGATTTTCGGAACTTCATATCAGTTGTTTGTATAGAGCTGGTTGTTTGCTCACCATTGAAAGATGCATCCCACCAGGTATCGAGATAATCACAGACTTTACTTAACAATAAAGTATGTGGGTAATTTTTTTCAGCATTGCGTAATTATGTCAGTGCATTTTTAATAATCATTACTTGTATAAAAAAAATAGAATTTTCCATGACTCACAAAAAACTCAATATAAATGCCATTATGGCTGAACCAACATCATTAAAATTATTCTGGAAGAATATATACTGGTAATGGACAACCATCAAACCTGGATGGCCACAAAAATGGCCAATTTAGTTTTTTCTGTGTTCAGTGGCTGTCAATCATGTTCATTTACATATCATCTTCTGACAAATGGCAGTATATTGTCAAAAATAAATATAGTATATATATATGTAGGGTGTTTTTATGAATTTCACATTTATTTTTGACAATATACTGCCATTTGTCCGAATATGATACATGTATGTATAAATGAACATATTAAATATGTATAATGCATATATAATCAAGCCACAGGTTCATTGCAGCCCGAAAAGTATGTCAAGGTGATGGACGAGGCAAGACATGTTGATTTTTTGTAGCTTATTATGAAGTTGCAGTACATGAAAAACGGGCACATGACAAATCAGCTCATAAATAAAACATTCTAGTGTTCCGTGGTATACATGTTTTCTAAGTGTCATCCATCCTTTCCTTATTACAATGAAATTTTACATGATTTATCCATCGCTGGTTTGTTTTAAGCAGTAAATAAATGACCTGTGCATAAGCAAATAGGGTACCGTTTCAGCAGATTTCGCAAAGAGGGTAGTCGGTACCGATATGGATATGCACCGTGGATCCAGTTCATTCTATGAGAAAATGTAATAAGACATCATTACTGAACTTGTATATTTTTTTATTTAAAAAAGGCTGTAAGGTTGGCATCAACAGTATGTATACGCTAGATGTAAATAACTCACCTCCAAAAAAATATAACAAAAAAATGGGTCAAAACTGTCTGGGTAGGAAATGGTTTGAGGGAAGGAACTGCTAAACTTAAAATTTGATAAGGTCAATTCAGTACAAAAAAACTTTACCCGATAATGGCCGATTGCTGGGACATACGATAACTATATGTCCCAGCTGATTGCGAAGAAAATTTGTTAAAAAAACAGCTTTTGGTTGCAACTTAAATATCAACGTTATGAAATATAAACAATGAACGTCAGTCATCTTGAATAACGTTGTATTTTTTGTAAGCAGCCAGAATCGCCGAATATGTTCCTGCAACGATTTGACGACGATTTCGCCGATGTTAAATGCAAAACAAGCAAAGTTATTCAACAGTTAGGTAAAAGGGAGATAAGGTGTTAGTAATATAAAACTTACAACTCGTTTTAACACGTGGAACTTCTTGATTAACAGCAAAACTTCTCAATCTTTCACGGATGAACATGTAAACAATGGCGATTCCGGGAAAATGACGCTAGGGCGAAAATAGTTCGTATTCATACGCATGCAATGTTTTTCTTAAATTTACACTTATGAAGCATTTTAAGCTTTAAAGTTAGCTGATCTGAAATCCGTATTCCATTAATTTCTAAATTTTTGAGTTCTAAGACACTTAATTAACTTGTGACTACATGTAATTTGTACTATATTTATGCAAGTACTTTGGCTACCATCGACCGCTGGTGTAGTAATATTAAAATCGCGTAAAGCAAAAATATACATACAATTTTAAAAAACGATTGCAAAATTTAGTACATAATTGGCCAGTTAATTTTAAAATAGACAGGGAACTATGATTTTTGGAGTTACTGCGAAGTTTTGGAACTATTTTGCTTAGCGTAGGTAGCTGTCTAATTGTGGTCATATCATAGTAAATCTGAATTTGTCGTTATTCCTTTGGGGGCGCATTGCGCATGCGCCCCCAAAAACGCGATACTGTAACACGTTCCCTACGGTGGGTGAGGTAATCTAAAAATAGTCCATGCATATCATTAACCGTACCACGTGATGATCTATAGATAGCGCATCGTATCTGTGAACATGCTTATTAATTGGTACCACGTAACGAAGTGGAAATGAAATGTGCACACTTGTTTCCTTTCAGTATGATAGATAGATCTCCACGTTAGTATTTTTACGATTGATTATTTTCTTTATTAGTTTTATTCAATAGAGAATAGATTTCAAATCGTTTTGACAAAAATATTCGTTTTTACAAAAATAAAAACAACTAAATATGTTGGGATGAAGGCACAACTGTGCAAGCCTTTCCTTTTAAAAGGAAACTTTATTTTATAATACCGTAAAATTTGACCAGTTTTAAAAGTAACAGATTGGGTTCAAGTGATAATATATTGTTTGAGGCCATATGCTCGGATAATACTTAAAGATATTTAGATGTAGCAGAAGCGTTTTTAAAAACCGTTACACGATCGAAAATATGCTCCGCAATCTGCGGTCCCGTTCTCGAGTTCCTATGGTTTGTAATAAAGATTAGTAACGGAATATATTTGCTATGTTTTATTAAAACAACTAAACCATGTGTAATCTGATTATCTCATGACAGTATACTTTGTGTCGTTAATGGTTAGTATTAGAAATAGTAATTCTGAAACTTCAATTAATTGAGAATGTTTGAATTTGGAGTACACAAAATCACAAAATACTATCTCTTGTGCAACAGTGATTAAATAATATTATCAAAACACCAGGTAAGCAATGTTGATAAAATGAAGCACCTTTCGAAATTTTATCTTTTTCTAATTTTCAGGACATACATAGGAAACAACGTATAAAGGAAGTCATAGACAACATTAAAAATAGAAAGGCAAAGAAGAAAAAACAGCCCCCAACTACTACATTGATGACCTTGACCCCAGGATGACCTTGACCTTGAACATAGAATGAATTTTCTAAAAACTTTAACATTGTCAAAGCGCGCTTCGGGGGCATTGTCATCTTACAGTGACAGTTCTTACTATGATATGTAATTGTACCTGGTGATTTTTAAACACTGATTTTTTTCTACTTCAATTGTTTATTGCTAAATAAAAGTTCTTTTTTAAATCAATATTATAATAAATACTGATTTTTTTTCTAATTCAATTATTTATTGTCAAACAAAATTAAGTTCTTTTTTAAAACAATATTATAATAAATACTAACATTTTTAAAAAGATTTAGTCATGTTGTGCTTTTAGAACACAATTGTGTTAATCCACCGTAGGGAACATTTTACAGTATCGCGTTTTTCGGTTACAGTATAGAATTTTCAAGATGGAGGATTTTTTTATGGGAAGAGATGTAGGTGATTTTTATTCAGGTCCATACTACTAGTAGTTTAGTTTCTAAAAGATGTTTTTGTGCTTTGCTTGTAAGGAACAGAATCCGGTACCTAGTCATATATTTATTCAGACCCTGCACCGCAGATTTATCTCTATATTGTCTCATAAATGTGCAGATTTGACAGTTTGAAAATTTGAATCGAGAGACCAACGCATTTTTTCCCATTCCGACATTATTTAAGGATGCCTAGATAAAGTAATTCTACTAAACGTTAGTCCATTGTGTTTAGAAACGTTTTTAAAAGTAAATGACCAGTTGAACCTATTTTCCTGTTGAAAAAATAAACAATGTTACAGTATAGAGCGAGGTTAATGTTGAAGGGTTACAGCATAGACTTAGCGACTTTGACCCAATTTTGTTACAGTTTATACCCAGATTTCGGTTACAGTTTAGATACTTGCCAAATTTTAAACAAAGTTCGTGTATCCATTATTTTTTATGAAATAATTCATACCTTTCTATTTAATACATTCTTGAAAGGTTGTATTACCTTTTTTCTTCAGCAGAAAGGTTTGCTATTTTTCTTACTTTAAGTTTCAGATTGAGACTTTTTGCAGAATAAGTAATGTCCTAAGTAAGGACTGTTTTCCCGACAACAACAGTAACTTTTATCGAATTGTACCGAGAGAAGAAAGATTATTGCTTGATTTTATAACACATTATAATAATGCCTATTAGTAATAAAAAAGAGAAAAAAAGAATCCTTAACAGAAGTCCAACACGGAAAACATGAAAATGTTGCAGGATCAGTTTGATTAAACCCGTTCATGGACGGTAGTAAATGCGCCTCCTAGCACCGGCTTCAACAGAATTCACATTAAACATGAACTGGTACACTTTAGATTTTTTAACATTTGTGGATGTGTTCATATGGCGGTTATCATGGAACCTTCAATGTGACACGATATTGCCATTCTATGAAAAGCGGCATATTACCCCCAGGTTAAAAAGCTTGTGTGCCCTAAACGAGAATACAATGAGTGAAACTAAATAAAATGAAATTTTGAGAGGGGATCGGAGGTTATGAAGCCTGCATACCATAGATAAGCTGTCAAAAGACACAATTAACAAGCAGGCAATACCCTAAGAATGATTAAACAGTATTTATAAGTGAGCAATATTTCAACCTTAATTTTTTTTTTAAGTTTTAATTTCCATCTACCATAATGTATTTTGTCAGTATTTAAAAGGGTTTGTTACGTTTGGCTTTCTTGGATTTTAAGTTTCAACGACACTGAGGTCATGTGAAAAACATTCCTGCTTTAGTGTAAAGAAAGACCCCAGATACCCTTTGTGAAACATTTCAGATACGAGCGGGCACCTGACTAGAACCACCTACCTTCCGTAAATTAGCTCGAGAGATTCCTCACATACAAAGAATCCAAAGTCATGATTGGATTTCAACTACAGCAGTAAATGAAAGATAGTTTGAAGTCGACGGCCTTATCCCGACTCTGCCACTTTATATGTACCTCCATCAGACTCACTATAGAAGATATTGTAATTGTCTGACCTTAGTTTATACTCTATAACTTTCAATATTATTTTCTTTTTCAGAAACATGAAAACTGCTATACAGAATGTCTGAAATGAGAAAAACGAGTTTTAATTTAATAACGACAAAATAATCGTAAATTCAACAAAGAAGCATTCGAAATGACGCAATGATCATGATTTGATTTGAATGCCTTTAGTTCGAGACGAGAAGGGTCTTTAAACATTGCCTTTTTTCAAAATCTATGTTTTGGGTTTTCGTATCCCCGATTTCAACCGAAACCATTTGAACAACTAATTGGTAGAAAGTCATGTAAATTTCATCACATTTAGTCAAGTAGTTACTGAGCGGATGAGATTGAACACACATGTGTACGACAGACGGACGAATAGCCATCGGGCTAATGAGCTCACAGAGATTTAAAAGTCTATGTAACATTCATACATTTTACCTAGTATATATAGAAAATATCGTAGTCTAAACTGTAACCGAAATCTGAGTATAAACTGTAACAAAATCGGATAAAAATCGCTAGGTCTATGCTGTAACCTTGCACAAATCACCTCGCTCTAAACTGTAACATTGTTTATTTTTTCACTCATTTAACGAACAGGACAATAGGTTCAACTGGTCATTTACTTTTAAAAACGTTTCCTAACATTATGAGAAATTTTGAGAGGGGATCGGAGGTTATGAAGCCTGCATACCATAGATAAGCTGTCAAAAGACACAATTAACAAGCAGGCAATACCCTAAGAATGATTAAACAGTATTTAAGTGAGCAATATTTCAACCTTAATTTTTTTTAAGTTTTAATTTCCATCTACCATAATGTATTTTGTCAGTATTTAAAAGGGTTTGTTACGTTTGGCTTTCTTGGATTTTAAGTTTCAACGACACTGAGGTCATGTGAAAACATTCCTGCTTTAGTGTAAAGAAAGACCCCAGATACCCTTTGTGAAACATTTCAGATACGAGCGGGCACCTGACTAGAACCACCTACCTTCCGTAAATTAGCTCGAGAGATTCCTCACATACAAAGAATCCAAAGTCATGATTGAATTTCAACTACAGCAATAAATGAAAGATAATTTGAAGTCGACGGCCTTATCCCGACTCTGCCACTTTTATGTACCTCCATCAGGCTCACTAGAGAAGATATTGTAATTGTCTGACCTTAAATTATACTCTTATAACTTTCAATATTATTTTCTTTTTCAGAAACATGAAAACTGCTATACAGAATGTCTGAAATAAGAAAAACGAGTTTTAATTTAATAATGACAAAATAATCGTAAATTCAACAAAGAAGCATTCGAAATGACGCCATGATCATGATTTGATATGAATGCCTTTAGTTCGAGACGAGAATGGTCTTTAAACATTGCCTTTTTTCAAAATCTATGTTTTGGGTTTTCGTATCCCCGATTGCAACGGAAACCATTTGAACAACTAACTGGTAAGGAGTCATGTAAATTTCATCACATTTATTCAAGTAGTTACTGAGCGGATGAGATTGAACACACATGTGTATGACAGACGGACGAATAGCCATCGGGCCAATGAGCTCACAGAGATTTAAAAGTCTATGTAACATTCATACATTTTACCTAGTATATATAGAAAATATCGTAGTCTAAACTGTAACCGAAATCTGAGTATAAACTGTAACAAAATCGGATAAAAATCGCTAGGTCTATGCTGTAACCTTGCACAAATCACCTCGCTCTACACTGTAACATTGTTTATTTTTTCACTCATTTAACTAACAGGACAATAGGTTCAACTGGTCATTTACTTTTAAAAACGTTTCCTAACATTAAGGACTAACGTTTTGCAGATTTACTTTTTCTAGGCATGCATAAATAATGTCGAAATTGGAGAAAAATGCGTTGGTCTCTCGATTCAAATTTTCTAACTGTCAAATCTGCACATTTATGAGACGATATAGCGATAAATCTGCGGCGCAGAGTCTGAAGAAATATATGACTAGATACCGGATTCTGTTCCTTACAAGCAAAGCACAAAAAGATCTTTTAGAAACTAAACTACTTGTAGTTTGGACCGGAATGAAAATCACCT